ATTTGCATTTACTTACCAGTTGAGCATCCCTAATCTAAAAATCCAAAACCTGAATGCTTCAATGAGCATTTTTTAGCATAATTTCAGTGTTCGAAAAGTTTTGAATTTTGGAGCATTTTGGATTTGGGGATTAGGGATGCTCAACATGTAGCTGAATTCAACAACACCATTAATCACCTGGACATCTATAGACTGCTTAACATAATAATAGCACAATATACATTTTTCTCAAGTTCACATGGAACATTCACCAAGATAGATTACATTCTGGGCCATAAAACACACCTTTACAAATTTAAAAGATTAGAAATCATACATCATCTGCTCTCAGGCCACAGTGGAATTAAATCAATAACAGATTTAATTCTAGAAATTAAATTGATTAAATTAATTGATTTGAGAAACCAATAACAGAAAGATAGCTGAAAAATCCCAAAATATGTAGAGGTTAAACACCACACTTCTAAATAACACATGGGTCAGAGAAGAAATCTCAGGTGAAATTCAAAAATATTATGAACTAAATGAAAATGAACACAGCTCATAAAATTTGTGGACTACAGTAGAAGCTTAGTGGGAAATTCATAGCATTGAATGCATATATTAGAAAAGAAGATCTAAAATCAATCATCTAAGTTTCCACCTTAGGCAACTACAAAAAGAAGAGCAAATTAAGTCGAAGTAAGCAGAAGAAAAGAAATAATAAAAATTAGAGCAAAAATCAATGAAATTAAAAACATAAAATCAATACTAAAAAATCAGTGAAACCAAAAGCTAGTACTTTGGAAAGATCAATAAAATCAATAAGCCTCTAGCCAGGCTAAGAAAAAAGAGAGAGGACTCAAATTACTTTTTTTTTTTTTTTTTGAGACAGAGTCTCACTCTGTTGCCCGGGCTAGAGTGAGTGCCGTGGCGTCAGTCTAGCTCACAGCAACCTCACACTCCTGGGCTTGGGAGCTCCTACTGCCTCAGCCTCCCGAGTAGCTCGGACTACAGGCATGCACCACCAT